GGGGGGGGGGGTGGGGGGGTGGAGGGGGTGACTCCAGGACAGGAATGGCAGGTTAGTAATCAAGTCTGTCTGCTAGTCTGCAGTGGTCATACCACAGCCTAATAACTGGGTTGGTGTTTATAGGCCCAGAATAGGAACTTACATGTTAGAAGGCAAAAGACAGAGAGTGAGCGGGGGAGAAGATGGGGGGGTTGGAAGGTAGAGGAAGGAGACAAAAAGCAGCTCTTTGTGTGAGCGGTACTGCCTTTCAGGGTGAGAAAAACAACAACACAGAGACAAAAAGGTGGCATGCTGCCCACGGAAAGGTTCCACCCACTGAAGAGTGTTACAACAGCTAACACTTCGACGTCAAAGTGAACCACTTTTAACCACTGAATAACATAATACATTCATATGAGAGTTGGTGGGAAAAAAAGCAATTATATTGCAATTTGATTGGCAAATCTGGCCAGGATGAGGGTAGGTCAAAAAGTTCAAATTCTAAAACATGTTAAGACAAGTTTCTTTCACAGTTACATTTAATCTTTGTCAAGCGCTGAGCATGTGTTTATTTTTTGGGCGTTAAGCTGTTTGTTGCATACAACTGATACGATTTTCTTACATAGCAGAATGTGTAATAAACCCTGTTGAGGCTAAGCTTGGATTTCTGGTGATGCCTATTGGATAAATTTGGCATTGCTTTTTACTTTCACCAATATGGAATTCACTGGGAGCGTTTTCTGTCAAAAGCTTGTGATTAAAGTCTAGAAACCTATAGCCTGTTGTTCGGCGTTGGACCCAGTGATACAGCACAATATACACTTAAATCTCTATTTATACGTTACATGAGCTCCCCCAGCAATCACCACTACATATAAGAGGTGAAAACTTCGTACTTGTAAAAGCAAAAAGGAAAATCAAAGGCCAGTGCTGACCCTTACCTTGTTCCCGTTGTTGGTCTCTCTGCTCCATGGACACCAGTGCTGAAAAGTGAGCCTGATCGTAGGCCAGGACCAGCGGCGAGCAGTGACAGCGGCTCGGTGGCACCTCCAGCGGCAGATAGAGTCCCCCGAAAGGGATGGGAGCAAAGGCTGAAATAGAACCACGACACCATGTTCAGTGTCAGTCCATTTTTTTAAATCCATCTAATGAGATGATCAACAGCGTGTGGTCACTTCACCTTCTCCTCCTGAGTCTCTGAGCATCGTATCAGCCACCACCACAATGGGCCTGCGCAACACATGAGCCAGCACGAAAACATGGAACTCCTCCAGGCTCTCATAGACGGGATCCTCAGAATTATCCACACTAAAAAATAAAAATACACGTTGAGATCATGTGATTTGTATTTTGCTAGAAATTAAATCACACAAGACAAGGGGGAAAGGAGGGAAGGAGAGGCGAGGTGGAGAGCTCTCATGCACACAACCACCAGGGGAGGAGAGGATGCACAACAACTAAGCCACGTCGACACATTTACTCTAATAAAGAGTCTTTTAATGTGAATCTCTGTTTAGGGGTTCATCTGGCACTAGGACCATCAAATATCCCTGATTGTGCTGTTAGAGTCTAGTTCAACCGGAGGTTTAAACCTTGAGACCACATAAGAACTTACTTTCTTAAAAAGGAGTGTTTTTCAGTGACAGAAACCTCAGACCGGGACACAGAACTGATGGAGTTGGGTGTTGATCGGGTTGTAATTTGGTGTAAATATCTCAGAAGTTTGTTGGTCCTTTTCTAACCAGAGTCACAAGAAGTTCTGATTTGTTTTGTTCTGCAGTGAAGCTGCCTCCTACTCTATCCTTTACCCTTCTTTTAGGTGTTTTTATTGGGAAAAAAGTGGCAATAAAACCAGAGTCTAGATCTTTTTTTTTACAATGTCTGTAAAACCATTATGCTCTACCCTGTCTTGTTAATAATTACAGCGTGATTAACAATCCATTTTGTCCAAATTAAGTCGACAAAAAAACGACAGTGAAAAATAGTTCCAGAAGATGGCAGTAATTCACCCAAAACAAAGCGTGGGGATGGGTCAGGGGCAGCTCTGAGGAAGAGTAATGTTTTTTTTTTTTTTTATTATAAATAGCTAAAAAAATACGTTTTAGATTCTAGGATGTGGTTAAAAGGGTTTTGGTTTATTTATTGAACACATCTTTTAATTAATATGTAATGTAATAAATGTAATGTAATGTTTTTTATGTAATAAAATAGAATTAGGTCTGTAATAGACTCAACAAAAAGGCTACATTACTCTTAATTTAATATGCAATTTAATAATTATGTATTGCAACAAATTAGTGAATAACAATCAGTACTGACCCAAACCAGTGTATTTTATTTTCCTGCTCATCTTTAAGACTTATTTTTATGTCATCTAATAAAATAACTTCAATGTTTTAACTTTAATGTTGCTGTGCGTTGGTGGTAAGACATTTCAGTCAAGATCAGCAAGGTTCCTGAGATTCTTTTACAATTTTTCTTTCTCCAGCACTTAAGTCACAATGCTGTTCAGTGAGAACGATGTGTTTATTTTGGTGAACATGGAAACAGAGAGAATCACAAAGGTTGCAGTGTGTGGGAGGAGGAAACCACAGTTAGTTTCCATTCTGCCTCGGCAGCCTGAGATAAAGCCGGGCTAGCAGTAATTTACTAAAAGAGGCAGGGTCTTTTTTTCAATTTTTATCACCTTTAGCAGTGAGGAGTTACCCCCACAGATCATGAGAGAATTTAGTCCACCAGAGCTGAGTAATGCTTAAAAGAGCCAGCAGATGGCACACTCTCTCGTGGGAAATTCAGCAAGTTTTTTTAGACAACTCAAGAAGACAATTTGAAAGAACAACAGTTCTGGTAGAAACAGTTACCCTGACCGATGCATCTTTGTGTAAAGGTCACTTTTGTTTTTCCCTGTTGGTTTCAAAGAAAAGAAAAGTCCAAGCAGAGCTGGAGACAAGAAGCGCAAGTGCATTCTTTCACTGAAACAAACAACTTTGTGTACATGATGGGATTGGAGTTACCTACCCTCCACTGGTGTTGCCATTTTTGCTAAGGTTAGTCCGAGGCTCGCTGGAGGCCAACTTCAGCAGCTCGTTCCACTCTCTCTCCCATTCTTCCTCAGTGTAAACCAGGCCTGACTGCAAACACACACACACGAACGAGAAACACTGTAAAAACATTTTTTATTATTCATTATTTGTTTTGAAATATTTCAATCTGTATCAACAAGGTCGTCTCCCGGAGCCAAGCATATCTGAAAACCAGTATTAAAAGTATTTAATGAAAGGTCGAGTGAGGTGCCCTTGGTGAAAAATCTGACTCAGACCTAAAAAAAAATACAATGACCTAGACTCATAATAAAAAAAATGTTTCTTAACTATTTTAATGTGAAAGTTCTAAAGCATTTGACTCCCACCTCTTTGTTTTAATAAAGGAAAGATGTTCTTGGTGTTATTTACATCTCCTTTACCTCTCCAAATATTATATCAAAGTCAAAGCTCTAAATGTATGTATTCTTATAATAAACAGTATTGTTACTTTCATTCCAAAATATGAACATTTGTCTTAACTGGGTCACAATATAATGTATAAAATTCTTAATATAAATACTATTTCTGTGGAAAAGTATAAAACAATACATTAGAATTGACATTTTCTTTTCTTTTTTCACAGATAGTCCTGCGCTAAAAATACATGATTGGTGCATAACACTCTTTTAATCCAGTCTTAGTCTCACAATGACAAAACAACCTTTATATATTTTTCCCATTTATCTCAACAACACAGCACCAGAATTTATTATGATTATTTATACACTGACAAATACTGCAGAAAAATAAATAAAGTTTCCCTTGAGATATCCTTTGATTTGTGCACATCAAACAGAGACGATAAAACAAGTGGACCTCCTCCAAAAGCACTCTTTTCATCTGTTTATACCTTTATCCCTGTGCCTAGATTTTAATATTAATAATTAATATATAATTGAGTTCCTTATTCATCCCCACAAAGTCAACACTGTGATGTCAACTGACACGGGCAAGAGAGGTGCCATTAAGTACACAGGAGCCACCATTAGGGATATGTGATTTCTCTGGGATTTGAACCCAGGACTCTTGAAAAAAGAAAGAAAAAACTGGGTTTGATGCCAATAACTGAATTCAGGTACAGAAACACTGCTTACACTTACAAATGACCAATTGAATCCAATCAAAGTATAAAAAAGGAGGACATGTTTTGAGTAAACATATGGAGTTGTACCTGTTGTACCTGTATCTGTAGAGGATCATCTCACCTCCTTGTTTTGTTGTGTTTGCTGCCACCTCCACCTCCTCTTCAGAGCGTCTCTCTCTGCTCCACTCTTCATCATGGTGTACAGCGATTTCCTCAACATCAGGTCCCGGTCATGGAAGCCCCACATCCCTGATCAACACAGAGAAAGCTAACCGTTACTGAATTCTACAACCGAGGACAAATCATACAAAGAGCAGCTTTAAAGAGAACATCAGACTTTAAGGTTTTCGCATGAGCGACTCACCTAAAGAGGCAGCGTGCAGAAGGCAGTTCCCATCCCCTGTGGTGGCCAGAGGAAGCAGCTTCTTACAACTGGTGCACATGGTGGACCACCAGTTCAGCCGACCTGCACACACACACAAACACACAGAGAGAGTCAGCAATCAAACAGAGGCCTTTTAAATAAATAAATATATATAAATATATATATATATATATATATATATACTTATTAACAGTCTGCATTCGGCATCTCTGTTTATGCTACATCTTTTTCTTGTTTTGGAAGGTATTTGTTTGTTTAATATATATGAAGATAAATCAGGAAAACTCCCTCAAAGTCATAGTTTCTCATTTTGTTCAGCTCAGAAAATACCTCTGTTTTAAACCAAGATGGCTGCCTCCCAGTTCAACTGCAGTTTAAGCTGTGCTTTCATACTACTTTACCGCCAGGTTTTTATCTTTGCGTCTGTTTTTGTGAGACGTGCACGCAGCACTGTCCTACAGCAGCCTGTGGATGTGATGCTGTGTTCTGGGTATGCGCTGAATTTCACCAAATCTGAATGTTCATCAGCTGTAGCCTCATTGTTTTAAGTTTGACTTGCACATTTTTTATGTTTTGTTTTTAATGTCACCTATTGTCTGATGTCCACAGACTTTTGAAGGGGTGTCAGATCAGGTCTGACCAAATCTAAAGTGGTGTGAGTGATTTGGCACAGTTTTTCAGTCTAGTCATCTGTAGTTTAACAATATACTGTTATATCCATGTAGTATAAGTAGTAGTAGACTACTGGACTTCCTGCCCAGCAGGACTCACCAGCCTGCTCCAGAGCCATCATGGTGGACTGCTCTATCAGGTCTCTCTCAATGAAACTCCTGAAGTCTTCACTGTACACGCTGAGATCTGGGAGCTGGAATGTGTAGATGGGCATCTCCAGAGGGAACTGCTCGTTGGTACACTCGCTGGCCACCTGCAACCGCGCCAGGGAGACGATGGCAGAACTGGCGTGGGAGATCCCGCGGGACAGACGCTTCTCTACAGTGAGAGGACAGAGAAGGAGTGAAAGGATGACTGGCACTGAATGAAAACAAAATGATCTGGTTAAAAAAAAAGTGCTGGTTCCTCGCTGTTTCAGAGGAGGCTCTACCTTGTGCATTGTCCTCCTGCTTCTGCACACACGACCTGTCGATCCTGCTGACATGGGTGGGCGTGTCACGAGTCTCTGGCTCCTTATAGTACCGGCCCTCGTTGAAGACCTGCGGCAGGTTGGCAGTGTGGACCTGCCTGAGCTCCTCATAGTCATTCAGAGCTGCACTGAGGTCCCAGTTTTTACCTGTAGACATGTCAACACTATCATCAACACCAGGTTTTCAGTCATCCAGGTCACTTTAACCATAGCAGTTAAAACCATAGGCAACTAGTGAACCAAGACAGTCCTGCTGCCTGTGTCCTGCTTGGTATAAAACACTTCTCTCTGTGTTTCTTTTCATAAAGAAAGTGTTTTTGGGTTTTTTTGTTTAACAATAAACCAGATGAACTTGTGACTGAAAACTGAGAAAATGTTATTGCTTGGCAGAAAAGCAAAGCCAATGTTTTACTGAAATCCAAAGTTGTTGTTTTTTTTTTAAAAGAGGCATGCCTCCTCTGGGGGGCGCCAGAACGATATTAGTGAAGGTAAAAAAAAAAAGACTAAAAAGAATGGCAGGGAATTTTTTTAAGCCTGAACTATAACTTCTAGAAACGAGTTGAAAAGGAAAAACTCAGCATTAGCCATGACAAACAACTGTAAAGATTAAATTCATCTCTGCTGCAAAATATACATCAATTCCAAATGTCAATCTGAGTAGCACATGGTGCAGCCACCAGAAATAAAACTTTAACAAAACCCTGGTCTCAAAGTTCATATAGAAGAGGTGACTGAGTAACTTCCTATGAAGTTCAATTAAATATTAGCATTCACATAGATAGATGTGCTAATACCTGCATTAAATCTGCACCACAGCAGACTTCCGCAAAACACTTAAATCTAACGCGAATGCCATTACCTGGAAACATACAAAGCGCAGGCTGCATGTCTGTATGTAACCTGAGAGCACGATTGTGAGAGAGCATCCATTAATTGACTTCCTCTGTGAAAGGAAGTCATCTTGTCTCCCCCTCAACTTCCAGACATGATGATTCTTGGCAGTCATGAACATGAACAGCAGCACCACTGAGCAACATCACTTATGCCAATCAATGCTAAACTAATTCCACTGAACAGATCTCAGCCACTCATGCTGCACAAACCCAGGAACACCATTAGGTTCTTGGGTATGAATCCACTCAGCACCTAACGCAAGGTCACTAAATGCCTCTACACCAGGCTGCCATTACTGTAGCATAGAGAGGGTGGTCTTAGAGCATGACTGGTGTCAGCAAAAAAAAAAAAAAAAAAAAAAAAAAAAAATATATATTTTTTTAAAAAACGTATAAGGGGGAGACACTTGTCAAAAAAAAAAAAAAAAAAAATATATATATATATATATATATATAAACGTATCAGCAGTGAGAAATTCAACGGTATTGTCTAGTGGTTGCAAGTAAAGATTTTGTTGATTTTTCTCTTGGTGATGATGAAGCTGTTTTGTCATAAATGGATGATGTAAATACACAATGACAATTCTTTTGTCAGAAAAAAAGAAGCATTAGTTTATATTACAGGCTTGTTATCTCTGTCCATTAGAACGTCTTTGTGTCTTTTCATCCAGCAACCAGACCATGGAATAAATCAACTTTCTATATATTTTATTTAAAGAGACACAAAAATGGTCTGAAACAGCAGACATCTGCAGCCATAATACTTTGAAACAATGAAAAGATTATTTTCTTCCTCTTTCTATTTCTTTTGAATTCTTTTTAAATCAAACTGCATGTTGACAAACTTACCATAAAGCATTCTTGTGGTGGGTACAGAATTTGACATTGTTGCTGTACACATTTATATGGGTGTGATAATCTACAAAAAGTATGAACATAAGGCTATAATAAAATTATCTGGTGGTAAATATCAATGGGCATGGCCCATCTCTGGCCCACGGGCTGCCTCTTGCCAACCACTGCCTTAGAGCATAAAAACTCACTGACCATCCTGGAATGTTGTGTTGACTAGTCAACGCAAAACACGTGGTGATTGTTCCCAAAAAAAAAAAAAAAAAAAAAAATCATGCTACCATCCAGCCAATCCAACACACCAGCATTCTGTTGCCGAGTGCACTTTTGCTCTCCTGTGTTTTTTTCCTAAGTAGCACTCTGCTCCTCAATGAGTTCCAGTGAATGGGCACAAAGCTCTCCCTGGGGAGCGCACTCGTAAAACTGTCACACTGGCCTTTAAATCAGGACGCTGGCTCAATGTTGCTGCCCCCGCGCCTCTCTGTCCCCTTTCTGCCCTCCTTTGTTTCCTTTATTTTTCCTTTCCTTTTCTCACTGCCCTCCCTCATCTGGTCTGCTCACCACCAGAGGCATCAGCTGATCCAAACAGATGTTTAAAAAAACACATGTATCAAATAATCAGTCTCAACAGACATAGGACACAGGATTTAGATTTCTTACCCTCCAGCAGGTCTCTTGCCAGACCCGGTTCTGCCCCTGTGGACCGAACAAAGTCTGACAGGACCGCGTCCATGTCCAGAGTCATGTGATCATGTGTGTGCGCTGCCCAAGGTGCAGCGGTGGCCTTGGTGGACGCCAGCCTTCACGTTCTCATCTGGGAAACAATAAGAATAAGAAGAAATAGACGGTCAGTTTTAGTCACACACAAAATCAACAACAATCCTGACCACAGTCACAACACACATTTGACCGGCACGCTGTTATTTAAATCCCAGCCAGTTCCACACCCTGCTTGCACTGCTGCGTAATGCTTCATGGAGCTGATAGTTCATAGCACTCCATTACCAACTGCTCCTCCCAGCTCTTGCAAACACATCAGTGTAGATGCTACATCAACAGACACCTGCATATCTCCACAGCCTTTAGTCCAGAGTCCGTGGTCACAACAACAGAAAAACTATTGGCCCTGTAAGAACGAACATTATTTTATACTATAAATGATTCTAGCCAGAGCTTCATACATTTTTACTCAGCGATTCTAAAGAGTACAACTCTAATTGTCAGGCTTATATTTATTGCATACATCATGCAAGACAGGAACAGGAGGGAGGGTGAAGTGTGATGACACCTACTGGACAACAGAGAGAAAAAAGGGAGAAATATTTCACTGAAAGAACACCATCCCAATGATAAAAGACAGAAAGAGAGTTACATTCTGTGAGGATCATCCAGAACTGACCTTCTGGACCGGAGAAGATGTACTAGTACTAGTTGTACTAGTTGTGGCCTGGTTATTATTTTTCCTAAATAATATAATTTCTGTTACCACATGGTGGTCCCGGGTGGACTGCTTAACTGTAATGAGATTACATTATACACAATGGCAGTCAGATTAGCCCTGATACCTTGAAAATATTAAGAAATAGAGCAGTGTTTTCCAACACATAATCAGGAAAAAAAAACCCACGGCACACATCCAAACAAAAACCTCACTAAAAGTATATGTAATTAAAATATAACAATCTTCTAGTTTAAATGACATCATAATTGACTAAAAACTCAGCATGTTTAGTTGAAGACAATGCTGATATACAGGCAGGAATTGAAGAAAGACACTCACAAAGATCTTCTTCAACAGCTCTGATTATCTTTTCTTAGTTTTAACACCCATCTGCGGAAGAGTATATAATTGCCATGGCACAGTGGTTGGGATTCACTGCAATATATAATGAATGAATAAATGGAATTATTAAGCAAATTAGGAATAAAAAAATGTAAAAAAAAAATGTTAGCATTATTTATTTATAATTTACCTTTTAACCATAAAACTGGGAGAGTCAGTGACTCTGTGTGGACTCATTAATGTGCGTCTTACTGTGACGTTATTTGTTTTCATCAGACTCCAGAACTGAGCATTATAGCTACAGCAGGTACACATTACACCAGTGTTCTAATTAATCAACAAGGGTTGCCTTGTTGGGCCATAAACAACATTTGTAAGATGGAAATGCACGCCCTCCCTCAGCTACTGGAATGAACGGGCCCATGCATAGTTTTCATTCCAGGACTGGAGTGTGCAGCTTTGTCAGTGGAGAAACAAACACCCACATGACTACAGTTCTAACACTAGCCCTCTGTTAGTGTACACAGGAAGTTCCATAGCTCCCCAGTTTGGTGTGTCTAACCTTTGGAGGCTTGACAGCATGCTGGAAGCACCTAGACATCCATGTCTCAATAAATGGAGACACCACCTCACCCCAACAGCCCTGCCGTCTCCCTCTCTCTCTCTCCCTCTCACCCACTGCACCACATGACATGAGTGACTGCCCATCAGGTTTTGGATCAGTGGTGTGAAGTGACAGATGCACTGAGAATAGAGCCGACGGAACAAATGTTGTTCCCCACTCCGTGGGGCTGACATACAGTGTTCAAGGATGGCTTTGGACGTAAACAGGAAATAGTTTGTTTGTTTCATCAACTCAGTCAGAATTACTAGATATTTAGAAAGCCTCCTCCTTAGTCTGTAGCATCGTCGGAGAGAAGAAAAGGTCCAGGAATCTTCTGTCTTTATCACATGAATTATTAATGAACGGCAGGCACACTTAAGCTGAGGTTTAGCTGACCCAGTTACTTTCATCCATTTTTATTGTGTTGCATTATTGAACCAAGGGAGACTGAGCTTATATAAATTACAGGGAACAGATATACAGTTTGACCAGATGGATCAAAAACTGATAACAAACGTTAAAAGACAATGGATGAAACACTGTGTTTGCTATTAATACATGGCCAAGAGTTAAAAAAAAAAAAATCTAACATCTTTGATACCTTCAAGTGGCAGGTCCAAACACTTCCCAGAAGGGAAAACTGAGTAATATATAAACATCACAATCTCAAAAACCATACCAGTGTGACAAATTCAGCACCTTGAAAAGTCAGATAAGGTCAGATACTTTGAGCCGTAAGAATTTAAGAGAAAAATGCAAATTAAAACCTGTCAATAACAATGAATTTACTCCCAGGACAAACTATTGACCTGCTGCCTTAAGAACATTAAAATCTCATGGCAGGCTTCAGGCCTGATTCTTTATTCTCTCAAGAGATAAACATCCAAGGTCATCGCTGACAAACAACAATAAGCTGCTAATTTGAATCACTGTATTGCCTTACACAGCAAAAGCCCTCATGGCTGGTATTGGTGGCTTTAGCAAATAACACAGCTCTGGTCACGATTTGGTTTCTTTTACCTAAAGGAACACTTCAGTTCAGTTAGCCATCCCTTTGGGAGGTAATTATGACTCAGAAACACCCAACTGCATGCTTGTCTACCCGGCAGCAAAAACATGTAGGCTAGAGGAAGCCAGGACTGTCCAGCTTCCTGTGACTCATGATTACAATTAGCATATTTGTCACACAGTGTACCAGACTGCCTTGTGGAAAACATGGCATTCTGACATAGTGACAGACAGCAAGCTGAACGGAAAAAAAAACCAATATAGATAGTCAAGTAGAGCTTGACATTTGAGGGGGGGGATTTTTTTTCCTAAATAAAAGTTTGGACTGTTGATGTGTTGATAAGGGCATGCTTACTTTGCAGGGGGTGCTGTGGGTCTGCTGTAGTCCATGCATGGTTTTTACTGTTCAATGGTGTGTAAAAAAAAAAAAAAAAAAAGCAAAACAAAAAAGAAAAAGGGAATGAAAAATGTTTTGGAGACAAAATTACTCAAAATAATGGAACATAGAACAGTGTTAATGTTAGCGTACCTTTTACACTTATTCAAGTGTAAACGGTTGCACTTGGATAAATGAGTAAATAAGGTAGATATAAATGATTATACTTATTCTACTGTGAGATGACTTTTGTTTTCCTTCTTGTTGGACTATCAATCCTAACTTGGATTTGTTTTACCTTGACAAAACATAATGATTAACCGCAATAAATATACTATTTTATCGGGAAAGATACTTCCTCAAGTACAAGAATCCACATTTCTTGAAACCCTATGGTTTACCAAGGTCTGAAAACACAACTTACTTTCTGTATTTTTGCTGCAGGTTGTTGAGAAGCCATCTGATGACCACAGGACTATCAGGACCAGGCACAACTCTAGTCCATGACTTCAGAGTCAGTTTCACAGAGAAAGACCCTGGGGACGCAGAGGATTCTGAAACACAGAATGAAATATTCTCAGTTTTCCTTTTAACAAGGTTTCTGTGAGAGTCCTGTCGTAGGGTGTACAAAGGTTCAAAGGTATTTTAGGACTCTGGGCATTAACGTAAAAAACAAACTCTTTGCACTATTCAAAGTTTGTCAAACAACACTAATTTTTCTTGATATATACAATATATATATGTTATATGGAATATATTCTGTCATCATAATGCAGACCCAACAATTGACCTCTATTTTGTATCTTTGATATTTATTTTTAACGAGTAAAAAAAAAACCCTAGAGTCGTACAAACTTCTTTTATTAGAATCTCTGTCTCTTAATTTAAACACAGCTCACTGTACTGCACATGGTAAAGTTGGAAAGTGGCAACCCACGCACTGTTGCACATTTTTATCGAGGACCTAATGAAAACTCACTGCTCTTACAGTGTAGTCCTTTAAACACAATTACAAGAGGAAAAATATGCGTATTTGGTTCCTTGTCAACAAGATAATGTCATTTAATAAAAGCAGATTTTTTTTCCCACACCAACAACAACTAATGGCTATATGTGGTTTTTCCACACCAACAACAACTAATGGCTATATTCCTGTCATGCGTGTGTACAAACAGAACATTTTTTACTGTAATAGGATGAGTTATAGCCCAGATAACTGTCTCCATTGTGAGCAGCAATCGCCCACACATAAGGCACATATGCACAGAGGGTGGGAGGTGAATATACTCTTCAAACACACATGCTAATCTTGTGCATTGCATCTCCTCCAGAACTGAAGCATGTTGGAAAGTAGTGTTTTACAGCCTGGAGTACAATGCTAAGCATGACCTTCATTCATGCAAATATCAGTATTCAGGAATATATAAACCATCAAGACTAATGATGACTTTTAATTATTTTCAAATGTTTTTTTCCCCCACTTGTCACTTTGATGTTGTTAGCTTTATATAATTTTAACAATCTTCTGCTCTAAAAGAAGAAGACAGGATTCAACAAATCAATAAGTTTAAAATGCAGGCAAGTGCATTCGCTTCACTGACATACCTACACAAAATCATTCAACATAGAATTCTAGCTATTTCTATGCGCCTGCCTCATAATTTTCTGCTATGGATAATTTGCAAAACCTACGATTGCAAGCACTAAGTAAAAACAACTTTGTTCCTTTACTAGCAATAACAATTACTCATCTTATTAAAATTTAACTTTTTCAATTGCTCATGCTCTGCTCTGTCAACATACTATGAATAGGGAGGAGGTAAGTGAGAATAGGAGTGGTGTAATCTGGAAAAAATTACTTGTTAATTACTGGCAGAGACTGAAATACACTGGAAAAGAGTGGGTGTAAATGGGCGAATCGAATGCGACAAAGTTAGGTGGCTAACAGGGCTAGTTAGATGCTAGTTTGTGTGTGTATAGTGTATTATTTGCATGTGTGAAAACACTATCCGGTTCATGTCAACCACGCTTTTTGCCCTCCGTTTGTGTACAAATCTCAACACGCACCAACATGTGCCCTCAGAGAGCTCAGCCGACACACAGGCGGCCACTAATAAAAGATGTCATTCAGCCCAGTCTAGGACTCATTCACATTCCTGTGTACAGCTAAATGTCAAGCCACCCTCTCAGTAACGACCGGAGGGGAAAAAACATCCTACAACAATAGGTACTTTGCTGGTTTGATGGATACACTAAAACCATACAATAACTTCAAAATGTGTTCATAATTCAACACTCAGAAAAGCAGGCTAGAAAAAATATAACAGTAACGAAAATATATAACAGTTCAAATACTTGCAGACTCATGTCGTCCCTGTACAATAAAATAGCAGTCAGAGGTTTTAATGCAACCCAAAAATGAACCAACGCCATGAACATTTGAATGTTATTTGTTAATTAAAAAAATAAAAATCAATACAGTGCTGTAGATACACTTTCGTATTAGAAAATATTGCGATATCTCAGTGTTTCGACACTTTATTACGCTACTATTACTAGTTTTTTTTTTTGATAGCATTTGGTGTATCATATGGTAGTCTGGGGGTGCAATTATTATTTGTGGATTCACTATTTATGAGACACAATTTCAGATTTTGGCAAATCCAGTTGTTGAAAGCAGCACCCAAGGAGTAAGCAGACACTCCAAAGCCCTGATTATGTCAATTTTGACCAACATGGCTGCTTTAAGCAACCGTCAACTTCAACTGATCACATCCACCATACTTTATTAGGGAATAATCAACCATTTAACTGACCTTTGAAGAATTACAATTACAATAACCAAAAAGAAGCACTTGTCCGATTTCAACATCAAGAGTACAAGATTAAATCAGGGGTTTCTAAAGAGAGTAGGAGGAGCTCTGCTCTCTATTCCTCCTCACATCAGCCACGGTCTCTCTTCCTTTTCCTCCTACGTTAACAATGGCAAGCTTGTATTCATGTTGATTGATTACGTGCCTGGGTAAATGTGGTAAAATGTGAGCTCACACCACACTGTCATATGCTTTAGAACCTGTGAGTCATTTCATCATTTCCTGGGTGACATGTTCAAGGCTCATCACATTTTCCCTGCAGTCACCACCAGAGAGGGCGCTGACTGACTGAGTCAGGACTGAGTCCTACTTTATCCCTCTATTATTGTGGACCGACCGGTGATACTGTCACTGCCTTCAGGGCCCACGGAGAGTTACATTTACTTTCTGTGACCTCAAAGCACCCCTGAGAAATCAACTGCCGAGGCCCAACTACCACAGATAAGGAAATGGAGGGACACATACACACACATACAGGAAAAAACACTGCATGACACTCACACAGACTGAGAGGGCTTGTAAAACTGTGACTTCCAGACAGTCCGTCATAAGACCACATAAAAAAAAAAACACTTTCCCCTTACGTCTTCTTAATTCTTCTCTAAGCTCACACTAAAGTCCAGCATCTGCACAACAGCATTTCACATGCTGTGAGAATCATGCTGCCAGAAGCAGTAATGTCACATTTACATCTCACTGTTGCACCGTTCACTGCCAGCACAGCATGTGCTTGCAGCAGAGAATTGTCAAATTGCACTAAATGCATCGTTGCATAAATATATGAGGTAAAATTCAACATATGCTGTAGTGGACGGTAGGCCGGATCTAGACTTCCCAGATTTGTGCTGGTAAATTGAAATATGGACTGGCTGCCATTCCATGTTTTGTTAGTAAACAGTTGGCATAATTCAGTCATAATTCAAAGCAATATTGGACAACTACTACCAAATAGTCCAAATACGTACTACTAAGTGTACTTTACTACTACTTTTCGACATGATGTAAAAAAAAAATGCAGTCTTAACTCACATAAGTATTTCATAAAATGGGCAGTGGTTCCACAGAAGCAGCCTGTGGTTACAGGGTGTGGAACTTACAGAACATGCAAATTGTTTTGGCAGTAAAGTTGTTTGATGCTGTCAGATTCTCCAGGATTGTACATATAACAATAATTTATGATGTAGTTTGTTTGTTTTTATTTCCAATAGTTTTATACTAGTACAATATATAAAAAAACAGACAGAAAACAGCTTTTATTCACTATACCTGCCACCGTGAACAGAAGGAGAAGTGACTTAAAATCAAATTTACCTGCGTGCAAACAACTACTTTGTAAACAGGGAACACACTACACGTGTTTTACTGTAGCCACGCCCTGCAATCACATACAACAACGGATATCTTATTCCAGATTTTAGGTGCAGTATGTGGGTCATTTATGAGAACATAGACCTTGGTCACACCTTTGAACGATCTCAGATGACAAAGGCCTGCAGAAGTCCAGTGGCAGTGGTAAACAACTGAAACTGACTTGTTTTTAAGGCAGAACTCAAGTGCGGTACCTATCTGGAATTAAGGAAAGGAATAGTGCAGAGCAGGGATTCTTTACCATAGGGACGTGGCCCAAACAAGGGCCAATGTCACCTAGAGCAGTGTTTCCAAACTTATTTTCTGGGACCCACATTTCAAAAGTCACAAACCTTCTGACCCAAGTCACTCCTGGAAAACATGATGTGAGACGACCCAAACAAAATCTCTCTTGCGACCCACCTGAGGATCGCGACCCAGTCTTTGGGAAACAATGACCTAGAGGGCGGCTACAAACTTTCTGTTTTGTACCCTTGGGTCACAAGGGCTGCAGGGATGGATTGGTTTTCAATTTAAGACAATCGACATGCAACTGTAATCCACGAGACAATAAGCAACAGTACAGCTGCTCACCACTTAGTGGCAGTAATGTGATGGCAGATGTTCAACTAGCTCCAAACAAGCAGGGAAAGTTATTGAGTAGCATTTAAAACAGCTTTTTAAACTGTAAGTGTAAGTTCAGAGAGGATTGGAGGTGAAGAGCATTTAGTGGAATCAAACACCTGTTCTAACAAGGACAATACTTGGTCCAAATCTCTATCCATGGATTTTCTCTCAGACGTTTTCCAATATACTGTAATGTGGCCCAACGGCTAAACTAATTCTGCACAGGTGCTCTCAGGTTTTTGTGTACGAACGATATGAGTTTTCCTCCCCGTCTTTGTTCAATAGCTTGGTTTTTCATTTTGAGAGCATTATTTCTTCATTACTGATCTCTCTATTGGACAAATTCTGAGGAAAACCTGAATTTTGTTGTTTGCTCACTTGTCAGCTGTCTCAGTGTCTTTCACTTTGTACAAAGACCAACAACCATTCACACTCATAACTATGGTAAACTTAGAATGGCCAATTAACCAATGTGCACTTCTATTAGTTATTCAAAAATGCCATTAGTAACTAACTGTATCCGATAAGATATATACACGTCAATAATACACCAACAGACCTGGTAAAATGAGCCATGTATGTTCCTTAAACTTTCTTCAAGTGCACCCACACAGCATCCACTCAGAGAGTGTAGGTGGAGTGTGAAGGAAAGATGTTCAGGCCAGTAACATAACTGACATTTTTAAATGATGCTGTTAACTGATGATGCATGTTTGCCGATTTGGAACATTTATATTTTGCAATTTTTGTTGCGGTATAAGATTTGGCTTCTATTATGTACTGTGTATGTAGAGGTTAGCGAAAGCTAAGTGGTGAACTAATGGTCAAACGCTAATAAATTCTTCTTCACTACAAGGCTAGTCCGGAGGCTAGCAAACATTAGCAAGAAAGTGGGGGAAGTAATAGATGTAATTTAATTTGCTTTAATCTTAATTGAATGCCAAATGTCAGGACGGGAGCCCAGTGTAAAGGCCAGATGGGGCTGTATAATGTCTCTGACATGATGTGACATTGACTTGACATGTAGTGAAATGAAATAGTGCTCAATATGACACTTTCTCAAACAGGAAAAGGAGGTTGAAAAACAGCTAAAAAGTTTTCCTGTATTTTTCTAATAAAACTACATTATGTCAGACTGCAGCAAAGCTGGACGGAAGTACGTCCCACAACCTCACACATTAAATAAGGCACAGCATTGAGTGTGAGCACTGTACAGCATTCACTGCGATGTTGTTGTGGCAGCACTTATGCTTCTCATTCATCTCCAATTAGCACAAGAACATTGAGCCTTGTGATAAAAATGTTCTCTCTGGGAAAAGAGGAAAATATGACCAAGGAGAAAACTGAACAGTACCACAGTAATGAAACTGTTAGGGGGAAAAGAAAAATCTGTTTACTTTGGGGAACTCTGAAAATGTACGTAAAAGTGCAAGCAGATCAAAAACCTGACAGTGTTATAGCGAGGTTTATGCTAATAGAAAAGGGAAGATTTATAGTAAGACTTGAAATTATATAAATACAACATGTCTGTAGGCTTATTAATTTCAGACTGACACCTATGTCAGAATGACCAAAGTGCCAATAGGAGGAGACATTTCTATTTTAGTAGTGAAAGCGTCATTATTAGTGAGCAACACTGTAGTACAAATGCAATGTTCTGGGAGTTCAACTCTTAAACCTCAAATATATGTCACCTCTCAGAGTCATGGCTGACATTAACAACCATAAACAGGCTTTCTGACAATTTAATTACAGAGTTCAGACCTGAATTCCAACTTGAATGTTTGAAAAGAATTTCAAACTTAGAGGAGAAAGTAAATGTCTATGCTGCATTTATTGTTATTATTACCACCTATGGCGTCATTTTTGGCTCAGAAATGACCCTTGACCTGCTTTCCCTAAAGGAACCTACTCTGTTGCCCTGCATGAAAATTTAAAATCGAGTCACCAAGGCTATGCTGTGCAACGGAGCTCCATTTGGAATTAGAAACCACTCCCTCGCTGATAAAGGATAGGGGACAGCTAAGCCAATTTTGTCCAATAATGACAACAAAACATGCAGCGATCAGGCTGAGAGCCGACAGGCAACTGGAGTGCCAGTCGGCTCTCGGCCTGATTGCCGGTCGAGGAAAGCCACACAAACACAGTTGATGGAGGACAAACAGAAAGAAGATCTGTAAAATATAATATCTTACTCTTGTTACCACATATCCCACAATATAAAATTACTACTACTGTAATCAAACTCCAGCCACTGTGTCTGGATGTTGGAGTCTCAAAGCCATCTTCAACCAAAGAAGGTAAAACATAGGAGGGAAAATAATAATAATCAAGTCACATTTAATTTCTAGTTATTTAATCTAACAGAACTTGTCAAGATAGTTGTCATCAACGTTGTGTTGGCTTGCCTCAAATAAGTTGGACAACATAACTAATTGCCTGCAGTTCTGTAGATCTGATACAATACTGTGTGTCCGTGGATTGGTACAGAATACAGACCATGTGTAGATCACGTCCAGCTCAATCTTAATACTGGCTGAATTTACTTCTCTAAATCCTAAACATTCTAAATGTCACATAGTCAGTCAGATAATTCATGTGACGGCGTAGGACCACAAGGTCAATTTTAAAACACAAACCTATTTTCTTAACTTCTGTAAGAAAGTAGGTACTAATGACCTACTGCTGTTTCGCTAGAGTACATCAATGCAATGCAAACCAAAATCAAGAAACGCAGCAAAGTAAAAGTAGTATTATTTCAGTAACACCTAAACACCACAATATTTCCTGGATTGATTATCCAAAAATGTTACTCTCAAATCACAAAGCATGGTCAGTAATCTGGATTCCAGAGTGGAAGAAAATGTATTTTAGATAAATATGACCTAGATTTTAGATACCAGATGTTGTCCGAGTTTCCCAGGGCGAGAAAATGTTCTAGCTTTAGTTTAGACTTAGCCCAAATATGGCCCAAATCTTCAATGCTAATATAGGACACGTGCATGTGTACCACTCTAATTTTCAAGATGCAACGCATTCTATCAAAGTACTGTGTACCATATGTTCCTGTGGGCTGTGGCCTGTGCAGCCAAGTCAGGTATGGAAACCAAACAGGGATAAAAGGGTGTGTTAAAAAGAAAACCATCTTAATATGGAAAGTTAACTGTAATCCATACTGCAGTCAACATGTGAAACATCGTCACAGCCTGATGAAGCTGCAGCCTGAGAGGAAACAGCGGGCGTAATGAATTTTCACAACTTTATGGTACAAGACATCTGACCTAGTTTGTGTGCGACTTATTTAGATTTACTATTCACCTTTTCTTTCATACACATAAACAGGTCTTTTCCCACTCTGTGAGATGTTTAGACCCACAGTAAAACCACAGCGGTTGTGGCCCCTCCGTGGCCTCCAACTGACCTCCCCCTGCCCACAGACACAGCACTTAACATTGTCCCCCCACCTGGAGAGATGTCTGAGTAATAGGGGCAACTTCAAAGCCCCGCCATGATTGGGTTGTGATTATCATGGCCACTTGACTTATGTCATCTGCCCCAAAGGATTTAAGTTGAGGGACTCATGCATGGAAAAATGGACCCACCCACGCCACCCTCCTCCCCAAAGGTAACAAGACATTAAGCCCCCAGGTGCTTGTGAGAGTCCTGCTGATTTATAAGAATGAGTATTCAGAGAAAAAAAACAAACATTGCTCCAAAAGGTGCCCTTGTGAATAAGATGATGATAAATCCCCCTTCCTCACCCCTCTGCCACCCCCATAACCCATGCTTTAGTACAGTGAAAGCTAATAATTATACTTCTTAAGTCGACAGACGTTTGCAAAATAGCACGTCACTCATTGCCAGATTGCCCAGATGATGACAACAGTCAACAGTCAGTCACCATTTTTGCACTAGCATTGCACTACTTCTCCAGGACGGGACAAGAATTCACTGTGGAAATTTACTGATCAGGTGCCAAGTAAACCCCTCTCTTCCCCCGGTATCATGCTGTGCTGGAGCCCCTGTGTGGAGCTGGCCTGACTTGGCCTTGTTTGGCTGTGCCAGGGGCCTGGCAACCACAGGCCTTGTTTTGTAGCTCTGCCTCATCTTTTAGGAGTTATCCACAAATCACACTTGACCACTGTCAGCTGACTGTCTCAACAAACTAAGCGAAAAAAAAATGTAACGACGAGGCAGCGGTTGGCCCACGGTGCAGGGAGGGAGGGACGCCACTCAAGCTTACGTTGGGTGTAAATCATCATCTGGAAGATGGCATGAATGAAACCTTTAGAGACCTCACTAATGTTCCCAATTTAAACACGCTCCAGGCTTAATGGGTCTTCACCAGGCGATGTAAATAAGGCTCCAACAATCTTAGAGTAATAACTGAGGGCCCTCACGAGATTTACAAATATAGTTGGGAGAAATTAACCAGGCCAGGAGAAGGAAGGGTGAAGAAACCAGACAGAAGGCTGGATGAAGTTATTATTGAAGCCCTAAAAGATACAAGGATGTAGAGACCTGATGAACCATGTATATGCTACACATCAACGAGGAAGGCATACAAAATTATATAGCTACAGTATATATATATATATATATTTATATATATACACACACACACAAACACAGAGAGACAGTGTATAGATACACAGTATACACACACACTACAACACCAATATCTGTGAGTGAGCATGCAGATTGCAGCTTCAGGACCATGTACACAGGCTCCAGACAATACCCACAGACCTATAATGAGAGCTGTGGCCTGTCCAGCCGTTTCATGAGCTGTCGACCAAGAATTAAACGGTTTCTTTGCGAAACAAGTTGTTCGAATCGAGACACGTACAGGCATCAGGGCAGGTGCACCTGTCTGCAGTGACAGCCTTTTGTGTTCACCGTCAAACCACGGAATCGGCCTGCGTGCCTGCGCTGCCGTGTGCGGTAATAGGACCGGAGAAAATTGCAAAGGCAGGACCGTTGTTCTCTTACCGTCTCTCTTCACTCATTAACTCCCCATCGTTAGCGTGGTGTGTCCAGACCTCTGACGAACCGTTAATTCCTGCCAGCGTCTCTCACTCTGCACTCTCTCTCTCGCTCAGCCCCATGTCATATTTCTCCGCTGCAGCAGAACTAAGCCACGCCCCCTCTCCCAGCTGCTGGCGCTGACGTCAGCCGAGGAGGAGGCTTACGCCTTCAGGTACACTTCCAGTTATTAGCCACAAGAGGCCAATGTTTCTGCGGAAAAACACACAAACAGGATTAATTTACGGTAACGCAACTAAACATAAATTCCAGTTCGTAAAACAAAACAAAAAAAACTTAACAGTCTATGTTTGAACGGTGCACCACCTGTTGAGAAACAATGATCATTTTATGTTTTAAACAAAGAAGAAAAAATAGCATGGCAGACATTATTATTGTTTAAAGTTCTAAGATGTACATCTTTGCAATTTTAACATAAAACATGTCTCCCAGGCATTTAGAAAAGCTTATCACTACAAAAGGTTCATTATCAAATTTTATTCTATGAGGTTTTTCAATGCAAAAAATGAAAAATCTTAAAGTCAAATCCTACCAAGGACTCTCAGATGTAAAAAGTTGCTGTTTTCTTTTTAAATCCAATTTCTCTTAATACCTTTTGACTTCCTCTCATTTTTACAGTTTGTCCTGTTATTGGTACCCGTTTCCTTCTTGTCATACTTTCACCTTCTTATCCCGATGCTAGCTTAGTTTTCCAGAATATTGATCTACCATCACACACACGAATCCCTCACTTTCAAACAGCTTTGTCTTTACAGCGCACAGATTTTGATAGCAATCACATGAGAAGATGTGGATTCAATATTACAAGTGTACTCTTTGGGGTAGGTGGGAGTCTGTGATTGGTTGGAATAGAACAACTAAAAGTGTCAGTGTAGACTTTTCTTTGGTGACTCAGAGTTAAACACACAGACTGGCGCAGAAATTTTTGACCTTTATTTGACTTTAAAATGAAAGATTCCTGACTTAATTCTGCCTTATTAAAACTCCGAGGAAGGAGATTCCACTTGTTTTTATTCTCAGGGAGCACGGTTCAAACACTGTGAGAAGAAAAGGGCTTGACTCAGACATGAGCAAGAAGGATTCAGGACTTGAATCTTCTTTTTGGGTTTAACTTTAACATTCAAAAGACCTGAAAATGTCTATGACCCACAGATTATGAACACATACAGTGAGCATAAAATATTAATTAGACTAAAGACATTTCTGATGGAAAGACTTAAACTATGGGATGATAGGACCTCAGAATTTAATTTAATGACCTTAAGGTAAACACTGCAGACGCAGGAATGGAGATGGAGTCTATAGAAATGACTTGACCTCCAACACTGGGGCCCGAGGCAATTTTCTTACATTTCTATGGAGACACTTTGAAAAAAAACCCCACATGGACATGAACACAAAGAACGACCACTATTGTCTATAGCAGAGTCGAGGTAAGAATAAGAATCTGCGTAAGGATTTGAGTTTGGGGTATGTTCTACTTACTTTCCTGCTTTTACTACAGTTACTACAGTCGAACGTAGGAAAATAACCCAATGGTTATTGTAGAGATAGAGATAGAGATAGAGATAGATAGATAGATAGATAGATAGATAGATAGATAGATAGATACTACACAATATGCTGAATGTAGTTTAATTATTTTTGAAGGTATTGTTTGAATATCACTGTGATTTACAATAATGCTTGGGTTTCAAGTAAGTGTTGACTAACATTCATTTTGTGCTGATATCACAGAATTATATTAGCTTTGCAGCTTACAAATGGACTTTAGGATCACTACTGCCACCTACCGAGCTAGAGTGCGTGCATCGGCGTCAATCTGTGCCTGAATTGGGGAATAAAAAAGTGCCTTTAAATTCAGAATTTTCTATACATTCCTTTAAATGTGAATAACTGTAATTAAGGTCCCAGGCTAATTAAAAGTTATCTACACACTTCATGGTCACGACACCGTGTTATTTTCTACGGGGGTGGGCGCTCTGCAGGTGGGATGTCTGCAGTCGCAGGTGTATCAGGTGTTGTGGTCACCGAGGGCGGAACCTCCCTGTTTACAGTCAGAGAAGCAGCGGCGAAAGCTTTGCAAACACGCACCCATTCAGCTGCAGCCGTTGCTGCTTTCTAGTCTCCACATACGCGCTGACCGCAGTCCATCTTTTTGTCCGGGGTTCGCCTGAATGAACTGGTCCAGCCTGTTATAACACAGCTGGTGGATCGATCTGGAGAGCAGCACACAGGCTGTTGCTGCTGCCGCCGCCGCTGCTGCTACTGCGCGGACACTGCGTCTTTGGAGACGAGCACGGCTGCGCGCTGTCCCCCCCACCCCTCCACTTCCAGTGAAAGTCCTCGGGCCCGCAGACATGAGGTCCGCCGCTGCCCTGTCGATCCTTCTCTGCAGTGTCGGATGGATTGCGTGCAAACCTTCGTCGCCGTGTCCGAGCGGTCAGTTCATGCTGAAGAGCCAGTGTGTCCTCTGCCATCCCACCTGCACCGAGTGCGACGGACATGAGCTTTTTGAATGCACTACCTGTGGAGTTGGTGAGCTTCGTTTCTGATGCACGCACTTTGAACACAGCACGACCGGGTTCACAGTCAGATGCATGCGTCTGCAGAGTTGAGCTGATATTGGAGTCATAAAAATAACATAGAATGTAAAGCCGTTTACTTGTGTGGGGTATTTTTTTATACAGTTAAGTGATATTTCTGAGTAGTTTTTACAAGAGCTCAAAGTTAGAAAATATTCATGTTTTGGAAAATTAACAATTGTCACATCTTAATTTCTTGCCCTTACTTATTTGCCCCTGGTCAACACACCCTTGTGTGGCCCCAGAAATGTGAGAATAAAAGAAAACCCTCTGTCAGTGACTCATTAATCCAACAGAGAGGGGGTTGGGTGGTTTTGTCTTCTTTTTCTTTCATTTAAAGGTTAGTCAAAGCAACGCTGTGACAGTGTTGGTGCTGTAAAACAGGAAGGGCATTCAGCACTGCTGAAACAATCAGTTGGCTAAGAAGCCTGTTGATTTTGTGTGTGTGTGTTGCAGAAATACCTTTGAAATCGGTAAGACATGAAGGTGTGATCCTTGTCCTCTGGTTTTCACAGTGTAATCTGATCATGTCAGAATGAGGCCTTTGTGAGAGGGGGAAAAAAATCCTGAGGCTTCAGGTGTTACAGTTCACAGAGCTTTTAACCAGCAGCCCTCCAAGACCCTTTGGTTTATTTACCTTAATCACGACACTTATTTTTGCAGAATGCATCCCATCATTTTGTTGGTTTTTGTTTTTTTCCCATTTGGATCTGGTGTGTTTTTCTGGTGTCCTTTTGAGAAACAGATTAAGCAAATCAGTGAGATGCATTCACCATTGTTCATGCCCAGTGGGCTGTTCAACTAGGAACCATAACTCTGTACCTGCTGTTGTTCTGTGTCTGGGAACTGGTTGTAAAGGCAGCAGTGATGATGATGATGATGGTGGTGGTCTTTCTCTTTCTCTCCCTCTCCCTCTCCCCTGCTTCACACCATATCCATGCAGATGAAACAACGCTGTAACTCATGTGCTTCCAGAGATGCCTCAGGTGCCACGGCTCAGCCAGCGGCAGGTGGCAGGGATATTGATAATTATGCAGAGCGCAAGACCCAATCAGCTTTGATCCCTCATCTGCCCCTGCTGGGCCTTGTTTACATTGTTTGAAGCATCTCCAGGCAGTGATCGTGTACGGCGATGGGTTATTGTCGGTCTCCCGTTAACATGCTGGATTGCAGCCAGTGCTGCAAATGATATTTGACAGACATTTGCTCTCTGCCACTGTTTCCTGTGCAGCCAGGGAGGCGAGAAGAATGAAAATTAAACAATTCCTGTTTTGAAATCTGTTTCTGTCAACAGCCGCTGTCATAAACACACGAGTGACTTTTGGAGCAGATCTCAGTCTTTGCTCTCAAATGTCTGAGGCTGATCATTTAAATCTGTGCTGTCAGAAGATTGACGGATGGAACTATCATCATCAATTTTGTTGTTTTTTTTTTTTGTTCCTTTTTTTTCTTTACTTAGTTTTTAGTTCTTGTACAGTTCTTTACAAATATAATTATTATGATATAGAGCAAGGTAGCTCGCTCGTCCTGTTAACTATTGGGAAAAAAACAGTACGCACCAGACAGTACGAGCAAAAATATATTATACCTACAATTTTATATAATTTTTGTAAGTTCATTTTCACATGCAAAAACTAGCTTAAGAAATATTGATTGCAGTATGTTTTTAGTCTTGTTCTGTATCATCCAGTGAAAATTAGAGTGAAAAATTCTAAACTAAGAACAAACACGTTTTACACCAGTGAACTTCTCTGGCGACCCAACTCTGAAGACATAAGGACCCAAACTTAATACAACCCAGGAACCTCTGAAAATATAATTACAGCTCTTTTAGGCATGATTTATGATTTTTAATCATTTAGAGACAAAATCTTTAGAAAAAAAAAATATTCTCCTTATCTTTGCTGTACAGCTCCTCTAGTGGGAAATGTGAAGGTGTCAGACGACAGGACATGCAGTCACAGGGATCTTCACAGCGAAATCACCAGAGTCATTAGTTGGTCGTCCATAGCGATGAATTCAACCACACTCTCTTTCATCCTTTCAGCTTTCTGCACTCAAGGACATTTATCCTGCCTTTTGATAGTTTTGTCTGAGCACAGAAGCCTTTTCCTGTGTCGCTTCCACCCATTAAATATCAATCCAAGGTTGTACTTCAACTGCAGAAATTCTGGAAGAAACAAAAAAAGAGTCCAGTGAGCATTTACAGGTGGGTAGAAGAAAAGAGAGGCTGTATTTTTGAACTTCTTCTCTTGGTCTTCCTCCTCCTCCTCAGACAAAGATGGACAGGAACGTTTCCTCAACCAAGGTCGCTGTCGGACACATTGCCCCCGGGGACTCTACCCTGACAGAGGTCACTACGAGTGTCTGCCCTGCATAGCCAATTGTGAACTGTGCACAGATGGCAACATATGTGCCAAATGTCAGGAGCGCTACAAACTTCAGAACGGGGTTTGCCAAACGGTGTCCTGCAGCACAGGTAAATACTGTAAATCCTTGCTGTTGAACTGGCTGAGACCAGAGCGGTGCCACTCAGAACGCCTGATGGATTTCTGTGTTCCAGGGCAGGTGCAGGACCCTGACACAGGAGAGTGCATCGACTGTGAGGCGGGCTGCAGCACATGTTCCACTGGTAGGTTTCACGTGGATCCTGTCTCCTCTGTTATAAGGTGTCAACAGTGTAATAACAAAGGTTTGGTTTTGTGCATTCTAATGAGTCACCTTGTCTCTGTTTGTGCACAGAAGACCCGGAGATCTGCAACAGCTGTGTTGAAGGTCACTTCCTGTGAGTACCTGTCCTCTGCCTTAATAGTCAGTCTTTGTTGCATTATCAAAAGATTATCACTCACTATACTGGAGGGACTCTCTGGAAACATCACAATTACAGAAAATTAATGAAAAAGTGCCAATCAGGAAAAAAAAACAAAAAACACTTGACCCCCTGTGCACGTTTGAATTTGCATTTTTACTGTGATGTCGCACTGAAAACAACGACACAACTCGGTGCAAAACCACTGCAAACCGATGTCTGTAACATTACTCCTGCATTTCTCAATTCTCCGTCTGGACTGTGGGACAAAAGCTCAGGTTGGAGAGTTAGAACAGGTCATCAATTGTGTACGTACCGCTCCCTAGGGTTTGTCCCACTGGTATCATGTGAGTCAGGTTACCCTCCATTTTGAGGCATGCACACACTGTCACCTGAGCAGAGCAAAGAAGTCGGCTTCACGGTGGACAGAGGGTGGTTTGTGTGGTTGCGTAGGTGGAAGTGAAGAAGAGGGAAACGGAGAGTAAGTGGAAATCACAGGCAGTGGAGGGTGTGATTATATAGGGTGCATCATCTTGACTTCTCTCACTGATATTGTTAGTCACAGCAGTGGAGGTTTGAAGGAAAATCCACCGCTTCACTGCACACTGGCCTCTTTCCACCGTCACCTACAGTGAAACACTTTCTCTTTTTCTAAAACTATAATTGGTTGACCTTTATTTACATATTCACCCTTTAGAGACGAATGGAAATAAGTTTCCTCACAGATTCCGATGGTAGTTTTTAGCTGATCTTTCTAATATTTATAGAAAGCTACTTGCCGCACACTTCAGCAGAGGGCACTAAAAACACTTCAGAGCCTGTCTTTTACCCATTTGTAAGTTCAATATAATACCAAAAAGAAAATCAGAGCTGTCACCACAATTGGTCCTAAAATTGGACATGTAAAAGTCATGGATAAAGGCTAAAATGCTTTTAGCCTTCTCTACGCCATCTATAGGGAAAACATGGTCACTGCAGGGAAAGGCAGAAGTATAATCACAATATAAACCAAGTTTGGCGGGCCACATCTGGCCCCCAGGCCTTAGTTTGCCCATGCCTGCTCTAACACATAGCCAATACGTGATTAATCCACAGCCATTCTGTCATTAATCAGAATAAATACTGTAAGCATTTGACAGCATTAAGAAATAAATATGATCTATTAAACCTAACGATGGGATGTGGCCTGTGTACGGTGTGGCTTTATTTCCATTAATTAAAAAAAACGCTAGTTTTGCACTGGCTCCAACAATTAAACAGGACACAACAAAAAATGCTGAACTTTGACACATTTGGTCTAATTATAGATAAGTTGGCACAACTTTCCCAATAAGAGACATAGTGACGACAGCACAAAGTGATAGATGTGTGATATTTGCTAACATTTAACTTTATTTCCCTGCGGGCCCTGTGGTTGGACTGAATAAAATAGACTGCAGTGATTAATTCTGGACGTGAGTCGCACCTTTGTTGTTTTTATTTATTTTTAATTTAGTCAGTAATGCAGTCACACTTTCACCATTTAATGACACTTTTTTTTTCTTTTTGGGAATGGATAGTCTGATATTTCTACAGTGGGATTCTTAAACATCCCACAGATTCTTAAGTAGTTTACTGTGTCCCAGTCAGCTTCTGTTGTGCACAGGTTGATGGATGCTGTGTGGCACTTCCAGCTGTTCCTGATTCAACAACCACCACATTTTAGCACCAAATCCTTGGCAACGCGCTCACAAGAGCAGCATACTTGGTGTGTGGGTGAAGGAGGCAGAGTAGGGGTGGAGGGTGGTCTCTCATAAAAGACAAGCTACACAGCTACTGTTGGCTTGTTTACTACTAAATAGAAGTAGTAAAAGTAGAGGTTCGTCTGGCTTAAATATTGAATGTACAGTATGGTGTCTTTGCAACACATTGTCGTGTCTGCTTCACGCTACCTTTTTTTTAAGAACATTTTGTCACATTAATATCCAGTTGAACTCCCAACAGTCCCAATTGCACCATCACGTTATTCAGTGGTTTCATCAGACCGAGTGTTGTTTTCTCAGAAGTTATAGATGAACAAATACAAAGGAATACTAAATGTTTCCATTAATTTTTAACAGCTTCAGGCACCAGTGTCGCAGACATTGTCCACAGAGCACCTATGAGGACTGGGGCAGGGGTGTGTGCCTCCCCTGTCCGACACCGTGCACTGATTGCAGGAGTGAGAAGCGCTGCCTAGCCTGCCAGCCTGGCTACTTCCTACATGGTAAAAAAAGACAAAGATAATTGTGTCTTATTTTGTCCTATTTGATATATTATCAAAAGGTTCAAAGGTGACCTCTTTGTGCCATGTTGGAGTAGCATGTATGTCTGTAATATTCTCACATGAGACTGCATGTGAGCATAATCACTCACGTTAAAGACAAATGAAATAAGCCCGACTCTTCATTTGGATTGCAAATCATGTCCGTGTCAGCAAATCTCTGAGATGAGATATGCAAATGTATGATTTTATGCAAACAGTGATTTAGTATGGCGTTGCTATGGTTCTCTTCTCTCTGGGTATTTTAAGCTGAAGCATCGGGAAAAAAAATAAAAGCGACTTAAAATTGAGGACGACTGAGAGGAACAGCGGCAAGCAGTTTGTTAAGGTTAACTCTCAGCCTCTCGTTTCTATATTCATGACATCCAGTTTTGGAAGAAGCTAGTGATTGTTTTGGACCGAGTAATTTACCAAAGACAATTAGGTGGAGAGAGAGAGAGAGAGTAAAGAATAAAAAAAGGAGAAAGAAGAGGACAGATTTGTGGTTAAACAAATGAGTGAAGACAAAGGTGAACATACAGGAATATGTGTCTGTGTGTGTGTGTATACACAAATATATATATATATATAGTATCACTTTCAAAATCTCTATCACGTCTGTGTTAAGACAAAGTTAAACTATTTTATATTGTTTTGTTTTTTGACACAAATAATATAGAGGTTTCTTTACTTGTACCCACAGAGGACAACGGAAGACAAGTATTTGTTTAATCAATTGTATAATAATAATAATAATCAATAATCAAGTGTTTGCTTCGATGTGCTCCCCTCAATGGTACGTGACGGTTAATGTTGAAGACGTAAGAAAGCCAAACATGAAATTCTACCACTAGATGGTGCCAAATCCTATCGAATAGAGAACAATTAGTGGAGCCACATATCTGTACGTGTTTGTCAGGACTGAGATGCCAGACAGAAATTGGATCAAACATTGGGCGGAAACCAAACGGTTTCAGGTGATATTCAGATAAAAATGAGTGTAAAGAAAACGACACAGTTATATCGTTTTCAAGCGTTGAGTAGTGTTACGTTTTATTTTAGCTGTTTTGTTTAACCGCTAAAATAAGGTTTAATTAGGTTAAAACAAACATTAAATTATTAACCAAAGCTGACTGCAAACGCATTAATATTATTAAAGATTTTTTCTCTCTTTTCCCTAAGATGTAAAGAAGGAAACAGGATTCTCTGATGGTGACGTCACTTTCAAACATGTTTCGACTTGAACTGTGGATATTTAGACGAATAGCTTTATTTATTTACGGTTTCATGCGTGGGAGAGTTGAAGGCCAGTAGTGCGTCATCGTTACTACATGATATAGTTTGAATAGCTGATACATTTATTCTTATTATGAATCCGTTCACTTAGTTTATTCTTTTCTATTTATTTTTAAAGTTTTGGAAATATATTTTATATTACTCGCTCACTCGTTGATATATAAAAATCAACGATTTTATTTCATCTATTCTAGGTGGCGAGTGCACTAAACAGTGTCCACAGCAGACCTACAGTGACTCCAGCGGGTGGCGCTGTCAGCCTTGCCATAGTTCCTGCCTGACTTGTTACGGACCACGTTTGAGCGACTGTGAACGTTGTCTTGCCGGGAACCCTTCTCTGCATGGACAGTGTCCTCTGGTTAACTGCCCTCTGGGACAGTACTATGATGGTACAATTTACACGCTTTATTGACTTTGATTCACTCTTTATGGTTAGTTTCAGGATATCCTACAAGAACTTACTGTAATACTCAGTACCTACCTTATTTGGTGCCCTGGGCCAGCCCCCAATTATCTCTTGCCAATCTCCTTCTCCTTAAAAAAAAAAAAAAAGTGTCATATGAATGAATTTGGATTTGTTTGGCTATATATATATTTATACAAATTTATACAAATAATTTGAATATATATTCACATAATATATTCAAATTATTTATTTGTATAAATTGGTTATTACAATTTGTTCAAAACTTTTATATTTGTGTGTGTGTGTGTATATATATATATATATATATATATATATATATATGTAAAGTAAATATATTGAAAATAATTAAGGAAGGCAAATACTTCCCACCCACTAACATGAATCTATTTAATCCTTTTACACTTTGGACAGGAAACGCTAAATGAAAAAAACTTTCATGTTAAATTCTATAAAACCTCCACTTAAAGGTGAAACTACAGGTTTGTATTCTCAATTTTATAATTGAAATGTGCTTTATTTTTGGTATAATTTTATTTAACCAAACTGAATGTTTTAGTGGCGCTATAAAATGGATTCCAGCAGTGAACAAGGCAGGTAATAGAAACTGAATTGGTGTAAATGATTGCCGTGTACAATTGTGAAAACTGTACTGGTGAAACATAATTACAGAACACCACGTCTGTGTGTTACCACGTAACACTAACACTACATTTAGCGATTGTGTTGCAACTGTAATAGACAGTTCATTTAGCGATTGTGTTGCAACTGTAATGGAAACAGCATTAGGTTCAGAGCAGAGGAATGTTGGTGACTTCATTACGTTGATCAACACGGTGACTGTGCTGAGAAGTGCTCACCTTGCTGCGGAGTCACTCTGCCAAAAATGTGCACTGGCTCACCCTTCACTCCATACACCTAGGTGATGCAGACAGAGCAGTTTTAAGAAAAAGAGTACACGTACAGCAACATTTACAAAATGGGCTTTTTTAGTGTAAGTAAAGTGCAATAAACTGTCTGAAAATAACCTGCTTGGAATTTTTGTTGGTTTTGTTTCCAGGGAAATACAGTGCCTGCCATTCCTGTGAAGCTTCCTGTAAAACCTGCTTTGGACCTCAAGGACAGGATTGTTCATCTTGTTTCAAAGGTATAAAAATATACAAGCCTCTCTCGGTCATGTTAAACAACCATGTGACTGTGTGCTTTGTGTGTCACAGGCTACTTCTTGGATCAGGATGGTTCTTGTGTAGCCCAGTGTCCACCTGGAACCTATGCAAATTCTGCCACTCAGCTGTGTGAAGACTGCTCTCCAAACTGCGAGGCCTGCAGTGGCACCAGTGACAACTGCATCAGCTGTTCCAAAGGCTCCTTTAAACTTTTCCTCCACCAGGGTCGATGCTGGTCTAATTGCCCAGAGTAAGCAACCCATCACACAATTTATTCAAAAACACTGAGAAAAAAAAGAAGAAGAAAAAACGTTAGAAAATAGCATTAATCCCACACATTAACTTTCTCCAAACCTGACTTTTCAGAGGTTTTTTTGAGACGGCCATGGGTGTGTGTGAGTCTTGTGACAGCTCCTGTCTGACATGTGACGGCTCCAAGTCCCAGTGCTTGTCATGCACTGATGGCTATTACCTAGGAGGTGGTACGTGCAGACTAAACTGCTCACTGCGGACATATCCAGCAGAGGACGGTACCTGCAGGCGCTGTCCTCCCCACTGTGACGTGTGCTCTGATGACAGGACCTGTTTCAGTAAGTTGGCCTGTTAAAGGAAAACAAATAATGAAAGAAAAAGAACTTCCCTGTTCGAGGTAAAAATGTATAAAGCATGGATGATTATGATTGGATCATTTTCTGCTCCTATGTGCAAATCTCATGTCAGAAATAAAAAAAAAAAGAAATGCAACTGAATAAAACAATGGAACAATTACAGCCCAATGATTAATTTATGGCAACAGTTAACGTTTAAATTAGCCATAGCAAACAACTGGGATGAAGGTGTGGTGAAGGTTCTAGTAGAAGATAATGGCAGCTGTTCATCTGGTCCTTGGTTAATGTATAATGCACACAGTGAAGTTGTGAAGTGTATATTTCAGTTGCAACAGGAGGGATTTTTACAACCACACTAGACAACACAGTGACACTGGGGGGGGATAAAAAGCAAAAGAAATATCATGGCTTAATTAAGTAAACAGAACGACAGATTGGTTTGAACAGTGTAAACTAAAGCATTATTTAGATATGCGATTGGAACGAAGCCACTTGGCCATGCATTTGATTTAAAATGTCAGAGTGTAGAAGAGTGTCAGCTAAGGGGAAGGGAAAGGTTTACAGGACGGTGGTGACACCAGCCATGATGTATGGTTTAGAGACAGTAGCAATAGGCAGAAGACAGGAGACGGAGCTGGAGGTGGCAGAGTTAAAGATACTAAGATTCTCTTTAGGAGTGACAAGAATGGACAGGATCAGGAATGAGGTCATTAGAGGGACAACACAGACAGGAAGGTTTGGAGAAAAAACTAGAGAAGCCAGATTGAGATGGTTTGGACATGTGCAGAGGAGGGACAGTGGATACATTGGTAGAAGAATGTTAGAGATGGAGCTACCAGGTAGGAGAAAGAGAGGAAGGCCAAAGAGGCGATATATGGATGCAGTGAGAGAGGACATGCAGATAGTTGGAGTCAGAGTAGAAGATGCAGAGAACAGGGAGAGATGGAAATCAATGATTTGCAACCCCTGAAAAAAAGGACAAAGCCGAAAGAAAAAGAAGAAGTTAATTAAAATGTCATTTATCCTCATGTCATTTCCAGAGTGCAGTTTCCTGTACCTAATGCTGAATGGTGTGTGTAAAGCCAGTTGTCCTCTGGGCTTTTATGAGGACATGGATGAAGGCCGCTGTGGTCAGTGTCACCCTACCTGTGCCACCTGCTCTGGGCCACTGGCAGACGACTGCGAGACGTGCTCAATAATTAGCCCCAAACTCTACAAGGGTGCATGTTACAAGGACTGCATCACTGGGACCTACTATGAAGCAGAAGCAAGGGAATGTCAAGGTGAGTCACCGCAGTGTTCTGCGTCGTATTTTATCTAAAATTATTGCGCAAGTGCGTTAATCGAATTGTGTGAAAAATTAACATATCGCTGGTTTAAATTGTTTTTATTTTTTGTTTCCAAATTGTTGCTCACTGGCTGTCAATACACCTGGACACTTAATTGAAGGGAGGATTATTGTGAAAATATATTAATATTAACGTATTAATATACTACCATGTGGAATTGAGAGGACAATGGGATTAAAGATGTCAAACTTTTGTGCCACAGTGAGGACAACATTTCAGTTTGCCCAATCTTGAAAATAATTAGGAAACAATTATGAGTTTCATGTTGCGGTTGGAGGAATTGACGTAGCATTTGACGACAGCATTTCCCTCTTCTTCCTGACATTTCTTCCTGACATTGAAACATGTAACTGTTATCGTAGCCTCGTTGCAACATCCATTCACTGATGGGTGGACATCATGAAACAAACTTTGATAGGGCTGTCAAACCAGTTATTTTTTAAATAAATTACAGGGGACCTTTGAGGTAATCACACATAATCAGCAGGTTTGTCTTTCATCTTCTCTTTTTGTTTGTTTATTTGAGTGTCTGAAAGCTTTCCATGTTCAACTTATAGACCTTGCAATTCTCAACTTGGATTTTGTTTGTTTAGTTTAAACAGCTGTTATGTAAACCTCGATGTATTTTTATTAGCTCTACGTTTCCTCTCCAATTATGTTTGACTTTGATTTTGTAAAGTTTGATTAGTGATAATAGGTCAAAGGTTTGTGTACGAGAACCTTATGTTCTTCCTCTCTTTCGGGAAAGCCACCGAGGTATTTGATACTTTCAAACCTGTCGTGAGGATATTGTCCTCAACATAAAAAATAAGTCTCGCGTCTAACCACAGTCCACTCTGTGTCAACTACGACAACTGTGTCAGTCAACTTGGTCAGCCGTGGACTTCTTTATGTACCACCGTGCGCTCAGTGAGGCTGGGCAGTAATTGAATCATTTCCCATTACCACCTGGAGGTTTGTAAGGAATAGTAGATGAATAAATGACCTACGGTGTTAACCTACTGCAGCGGTAACTCAGCTTACAACAACAGTAATCATAGAATACTAAGTGGCAGGGATCTGAAGGTGTATTTCACATTTAAAAGAAACTTTTTTTAAACTTCCGTCTTTGTCTGTGCCTTCCTACCTTTTTAATACTTTTACATTCAGTAGTTGATCGATTGTTCTGTCTTTCAACTTACAGAATAGACACAACAAAGTAATTGTAATGTAAACGTTGGTCCAATTCTGACAACTCTTGTTTCTTAGTTTTATATTAACTTATTTTTACAGATTTTTTTTTTGTTTGGTTTTTCCGCAATTTTTTTGTAATCAGTAAAACAGGCAGCTTATAACTACAGTATACCTGTGTCTCACAGTGCTTGATACAAACAGAGCGTGTATGAGCTAAAAATGATCTATATCAAATAGAGAGGTGGTGGTTTGTGTTGTGGAGAAATGCTGAGAATGGCTCCACCCTGTGACCTTTAAAAAAAAGGTCTCTTCTAACATCAAAATAATATTTATTTTAACATAAAGTTCAGTCACTTGTTCTCTCTCTAATCCTGTCCAGGGGACAGGTAAATATTATTTTGTTTTAAGTGTACACAATGCGATGTGGGAGAAAGCCAAAGAGCTGACACTCACAGGACCGGTATATGATCACTCATCAAGGCAGTGTTTCTTAATTATTTTCTGCCCCACCCAGACATATTTTTTGTTTCCACACCCCCGCAAATTGAAATACTATTGAGAACCTGATAACATGTATATTTTCATCTGTAGTTTCTTCAGTTTAATCCATTGAATTCCAGGAAAATAAAATGTATTTGTTCTGAGGCAACCTCATTTTACCACTAATACTGGCCTTAATTCTACAATTTAGGGGTGTTAGCGTGAGAGCAACAAAAAGATTATAATAGCACTGACTTGTTCTATTTAAAGCTCAGTTGTGCAACTTTCGATTCAGGTCAGAGCAGGTGATTGCGTGCGTCTCTATTATATATCAAAGGCTATTATGTTGTAATTAACTATTGTCTGTAAATACAAATATGTATTCTGTAGTTCTCATGTGGTATGGGTTTCACAACAATTTGCTTCAGCCACTTTTTCAGTTGAGTTATTTTTGCACAATCATATCCGTTTATTGTGTTATGTACCTGTTTTGTTGTATTTTTATGCCTAAGTTGACGGCACTCTGCACAAATAACTGAATTCCTAAGATAAGGTAAGTCTTTATTCATTCCACACGGGGGAAATTCAGTATGGTTTTTGTTTCCTGGTTACATGTTCGTGATGTTGTGCATTAAACACTAAATTATCCAACATGGAACACAGAGTGTTCTGTGACCTCTTGTCAAAGTTTAAGAGATATCTCTTCTGATTAGTCTTTGCTATTTTGGCATTCCTCTTAGAATGCCACCAGACGTGTTCGACCTGTGCTGGACCGGATCCAAATCAGTGCACTCAGTGCAAGAAAGGACTAGTACTGGATCCAAACACGTTATTTTGTGGAGTGACAGGTGACACAGATTGTCCTGATGGAACCTACCTGCACGATGACCAATTCACCTGCATGGGCTGCCATCCAGAGTGCCACTCGTGTGAGGGTCCGGGAGAGAACGAATGCCAGACATGCCACATCGCCAAGTACCTGCAGAGTAGGCATTTTCAATATTTTTGCAGTCAAATAAGTCCCCAAACCACTCTCCCTTCATATAATATAAAAACACATAAAACACTGATTGACTGACTAGAAAAGAATTATGTAAAAACAAATAAAAACCGTCGAAGTATACTGACATGTCACCTGTCAACTATAAAGTAGTGAAAGCCTGATCATCAAGGAAACAACAACAAATAGGGAGCGAGGGTTTTTTTTTCCTACTTACCTTCAAGGTTTCACCTGTAGTTTTTATTTTCCAAAAGCGCGACCTAAGATCAGAAAATGTCAAATAGATTTGAATAGTTTCAGACAAATTTGCATTTTGGGAAAAATTACATAAAGACAAAAACATAAAGAAAAACGTGAAGACTTATACCAAAGACAAATAAGTTCACAGACAGATATTGGAGGGAAAACATTACAGGTTAATATTTTAAAAAATATATAAGCATAGAAAAAACTTATCCAGAATATAAAAACACAATTGTACATTATTGGAAAAAGCAGTAAGTACTTTTTAAAAGCACCTTTTTTTAATTAAAATTTTTTTAAGAATTTGTATTTCAGAAAAAATATTTTATACAATATACATATATGTATACTCATCTGTGTATATATATATGTATATGTATATATATATATATATATTAAAATATTCAAATTTTCAAAATAAAAAAACCTTTAGAAAAAACAACAAATTTACACAAAATAATTGTGCCTTTTCAAACTCTTCAAATTACATTTTTTTTTTATAATTGATTTATCACTACTGCTACCTTTGTTTTCCAAAATTCTCAAAGATGTTTTTGTGAATGTGAATTTATTCTGGTGACACTCCTCCAATAGTTCTTTTTGTGAACAAGCCAGACATGCTTTACAGTTGGAGTATTTCCGCGATTGGCAGGCACTACACCTTTGATAAAGACTGATAAAGGTGTAGTACCTTTATCAGTAAGTCACACCCTTAACCAGTACTGCTGCTGAGAAGCAACATATCTGCGTCTGCACACAAGAACAAAGATGTAATCGTATCTAAAGGTTCTGCAGAATAAATTCGAACCATGTATAAAAAAAACCCTAGAAATTTTAACTTGGTTTAAAACATTTCAGTTGTTTTAAATCACACTTTGAAGACGATTATTTATTTTCACATCAAAAGGGATTGTGCTTGTGTTATACTAAGAGTGTACAGGTGTTCTGTATAAAACATTTACAGGAATAAACAGGAGACAACCTGGTGGTGAAGTCCATCAACTGTAAAGACATTTGTGTCTGCTCAACATCAGAGTGTTACAATGACAGCCATACTGTTTAGCGACTTTGGGACTTTGACCTTGGGCAACATAAAGTGCATTCAGTCAGTAAGAACTCAGGCTAAAGAAGTTGTGCAATACTTCTAGCTGTAGAGAGAAACACTTTAGCTTACTACAGACATGTTGAATAGGAGATAGGCACAAACAACTCTTTCATGTTACAATCCAAAATAAAAGGGTCATAGATACGACCCCTACCAAGGTCATCTACCTACAGATGCTGGTATTGGTTAAAAAAATGAAATACGCCAGCACAACCCAAATTCATGTCTTCCTCTTTGGATGATACAGCTTTAGGTTGACATTCCTAAAGTATACACACACACACACACACACAGTTTACACCTTGGGGCATTGTACACAGAAGGCGTCACGTGTGTTTGTGCTGACACTTCTTCCCAGACAGGACGTGTGTGAAGGAGTGTCCAAGTGGTATGTACACGGAAAGACAGGAGGCAGATGGAGAAGATGTTGGATTCTGTTTACCCTGTGATCACATCTGTGCCACCTGCACCGGAGCATCGCCAAGAGATTGCTTAACTTGTTCTCTGGGATACCTGCGACTCCAGGATCTCTGTGTCACTCACTGTCCATCTGGGTAAATACTGTGGTTGACTCAGTAAATATGCGATTAATTGGAATGGCATAGTTACAGTATGTAGTTGGCACAGCTTTGTGGGAATTGAAGTGATGATTGAATATTTTTATTGGCTGTTTATACACAGAACCAGACCGTCCAGAAACAATTTGTGCGGGTTTTCCCCCGGAGCCCAGTTGAGAATTAATAATAATTAATTTTGCGTCATATACTTACAGTACATGGATATTGCAAAATACTTGACACGATCCCAAGTAGGATGGGATAATGAGGGGTTAATCCGCTTCAGGCTAGGGTTTTTGCCATCAGTCTCACTGCGACAGGGAAAGAAAAAGAAGAAGAGGAGAACGTCCCAGTGAGGACACCAAGCAGGAAAATGCTTACAGCCACTTTCATTGTCTTCAACAAATCTATGTGTAAAGTAAACAATAAAACGTGTTTAAAAAAATAAGGCAAAAGGTAAACTTCCTGCATAAGTCTCGCAGCAAACTCAACAGAAAAGTGAGCAGAGCTTTTACGTCACTGAGGGTTAGGTGAACTCCCCATCTGTCCACTGTGCTGTCAAAACTGAGAAATAACAATCTGTGTGACGTCCTTCTTAAATAAACCACCCATGTGTGCAGTGGTTCACCAAACTGCAGCAGGAAAAACAAAACTGTCTGGTACACTGCTAGTTGTGGAACACCATTACAGAGTACCCGGTCGTTGGAACAGCACATTTTTGATCCTAGTACATGTATTCTAATTCAGTACCCACCCCAATGCCCGTCTTAATATCAGAGGACCCCTTATTTGGTACCAAAAGTTTCACATGTTATACTGAACAACTTGTATTTTTTAACTAAACACTGCATGACTAGCCATGTTAATACTGACAGTATTGTGTTTTCCTTCAGATATTACAGAGAAGGATACCACTGTGAGAAATGTGACCAGTCCTGTGAGCTGTGCACAGGACCGGGGCCTGACTCCTGCAGGGCCTGCCCACCACCTCTTCTGGAGCTCCAGGGAACTAAGCTGTGTGTGGAAAGCTGCCTGCCCCGCTTTTACCAGCTGAATGACATCTGCAAACAATGCCACACTAGTTGTCAAACCTGCACAGGTAATATGTTTTGTGTGTATAACTAATTTGTTTCTCAATTAGTGTTCAAATAGCCAAGCTACAATTTTGTTTGTTTCTCAAAAACAAGCAAACAACCGGGGGGTGCTAACACGGTGATGAGGGGGAACAAAAACTGTTTTGTTTCACACAATGTGGTAACCCAAACCTAGAGAAGTGGGGTAACTTTTGAATAATTCAGAAAATGATAGTAATGAAGCTAAAGTCAGGTTACCGTGGTAAATAAGATCATGAATCGCTCCTGAAATGGATCAGGTTTTCTTCAGGGTTCTCTCTGTCTCCTCCCTCCTAGCAAAAGGTGCTTTGTTCCATTGTACTCTTATTCAGCACCTTTAAGGAAAACAGATATTTATTTTCATTTTTAAACAATGTTCTGAATGTTATTTAGACCTGGCATAATCTTGGAATCTGGCAGCTCAGTTCTTTTCTTATCGCTCTGCTCGTCGCTGTTTTTATCTGTGCTGCTGAACTAATGAGGCCTTTCTGAAGTCGTACACGGCACACAAATATCAACGCAGCTATTGTATATGACTGCCCTATTGCATAATATTGCATGCAAAGCACAGCAGTGCATATTTGCATGTTATCAAAGCTCCTACTCTTTTGACCTGATAAACATAAAAATGTACAGTATACTCAAACCACACTAGAAGATTTGAAGTACTGCAGTACATTCTTCTACAAAGAAGCAGTTCTCTGATGGAATCAACATTGTCAGAAGTTTTTGAGACTCAATTGGTAGATATTAAGAGAAAGAGTTCTGTTATTTTTGTATTTTTTTTTTATTTACATCAGAGAACCTTGTAGCTCCTGGTCAACATTTTGCATTAAGCAGTTAACATGACGTGTAAATGTAAAAAGAAACCGACATTCCCTAAGGTTAAGGGCCTTAGTTTGGACAGTGAATTTGTCCACAGTTACATCCTGTTCATTTGCATACTCTCTGGGCTTTTCAAATAACACCATACACCTGTATGTTTGCAGACGGCTCACCTCAAAGCTGCCTGTCATGTGATATGGGTGGTACGCTGAAGGACAAGGTTTGCTATCCACGTTGTGAGGAGGGGCGCTACTTTTCAGAGCAGGTACTGTCTGGTTCATGGACAGTGCTTGAATACTTTGTCCATGGGTTTGACTAATGTATCAGTCATTGTCTCAGTGTATGACAAAGAGGTGTGGTGTTTGTTTGGTTATTCATTGTTAGAACTGGATAACTAATTATCCAAGTTCATGATGATGTGTTACTACAATTTCAAACTTTAGGGTAAAAACGAAAACGTCTTCTATTTTTTTTTGCCACAGTGCAATAATTAGTAATTTTTGTACCACTGTAGGAAACCTGTGAACCATGTCACGACTCGTGTCGCCACTGCATTGGTCCCAGACCTGATCAGTGTCTGACCTGTCACCGTGATTTTGCTCTCCATGCTGTGGAGAATCGCTGTGCCCGCTGCTGCCAAAATAGTGGGAATGACACCGACTGCTGTGTCTGTGACAGCCGCTCAGGTAGACGTTCACTTATTTATACTATGTGGTGTTATTTTGTCCTCAGCTAGGGTATGAGACCAGGCTACTGTATATTAAAGACGTTGTTCAAAAGTAATGGCATGAAAATTGCCCTAAAATGAAGAGTTTATGGGCTTTAAATACTAGTTCTACAGTAGGTATCTTTGCAGAAAGTGTGATCTTTGCAGAAAGTTTGATCCTAAGTACAATTCAACTATTCAATTTGAAGAAAAAACTGGCAAAAGAAAAATAAATGCTTGTCTTTTAGGTTAACCTTTATGTAATTCATAGTTTTTCATAGACATTTGTTACACACCTGCAGTGTTCCCCAAAAACGTTGGATCACATTCACTATGTCCCATCATATTTAGGCAATAGCAGAGGACAAAATATTTGTATCTTTTTGGGCAACATAAGGGTTCAAAAAAGTATCAAGTAAAGATTTCAATTAGGTGTGTTTCTATTTGTGATTTCTGATGTTTCTAAATATAGTTCTCCTATATACAGTATATAGATCTTTGCTTTCAAAAGGAACATTAAAGGGTCATCCCGGTCAATCGGTTAAGACGTGGGCAGCTGGACAGTCTTTGTTTCAAGAACATGTTTCACTTCTTATCCTGTGGAATGAGAGGTGAAAAGTCTTGTAGAAACCAAGACTGTCCTGTTGCCTACGTCCTAAGTGCTTCAAATCTACTCAAGGCGCTTCTTTGGTTATTTTAGCACTGTGTGTGGAGGCCCTCCAACCGAAATCAGGAGATGTCCAGGAAACAGACCTGAAAATTGCCCCGAGGGCTGTACATCACACCTCGGCTGCCTTACCCGTTTCCTTGTTGCTGGCACTCGGGCTGGCGCTGGCTGTTTACGTCTCGGTCAAAGCTCATGCCCGGAAAAGGTTTTGCTGGAGCCAAAGCTATGAAAGACTGAGAGGCAGTGCCAGCGTCAACATGCCCCATGGCGTGCCCGAGCCAGATAGCGGGGACGAGGTGGACGTGGTGTACACCAGCAGAGGTGGATCGGTGTATCGACGCTACAGCTTCATCCACGAGCAGGACAATGATGCCGACCAGGATGTGGATGAGAGCACTTGTCTAAACCAGTCCTAAAAAACAGATTCAAACAAGAGTATTAATGTGAGGGTGAGCTTGTGAGTGCACACTGTTACAAAGACTGACAAGTGCATTTAAAGTCATTTAGATTCTTTTCAAAATAAATGAATAATCAACGTATGGTACCTTTTTTTTTGTTTAAAAAAAAGTTGTTGTTTTTTTATTCTGAGAAGTGCCTGTGTCTATATAAAGCACATCCTTGAAACTTTAGTGACTGAAAAAATCCATACATTTGTGTTCATGATAATTTTCTTTCTTTCTTTTTTTTAACTTGACATTAAAGGGGTATTTGTAAAATGGCAAAATCTCATTATAACTGAACTGGTTAAAATGTGCATGATTTGTTGTAAATAGAAAAATAATAATAGATCATTTCTGCCTTTGCCCTGTGTTCATACAAAGAATTCCTCTGTTTTGTGTGAACAGAGCTTTATATTGATATTAGTTTTTTCATGGACAAATGATTCATGATTTACAGATGTATTATTTAAAATACATAATTAACATTAAATAAATAAATGTGAAGCTATTCTAATGTGCTCTGTCCTGTGTGATAGATTACTGTATTACTGTAAATCTGTGGAATTTAATACACAAAGCACAAAATGCATCACAGGCAGCTGGTTTTCTCAGCATCAAGTCCCACCTAGAAATTGTCTGTGAGCAATCCACCTCATACTTTACATGTAATGTATAGACTATGTGTGTTTTAGTATTAAAAATATTCTTGCTGAATTGCTTATGTATCACTGTTTGAAAGATGCTGGTTTAAAAAAAATAGGTAACACATGAACTCTGTCATGTCACAAGGGGACCACATCAGTTATTGTTGTTAAAGAAATGATTTTTAAAAAAAAGCAGTTTTGTTTGTTCATGAATGCAGAAACAATTGACAAAAAAATTAGAAGATCATCAAGCAAAATTACATTATTATTGAGGGACTGATTTGGGAGCTTCGAAGCTGCCGGGCTAGGAGGTTGAGGCTCCTACTGTAAAGGCTGTCCCTCTGTTCTGTGTATTCCTACTATCTTTTTTTGCTTTTTTTATATATATAGGAAAAGGGCAACACCAGGATTTTCATTCTGTGACTTAAAACTCAGTTAATCAACTGTTTGCCACAGCCTTAAAAGGAAGAAATGAGCAACAAATGAACAGAAAATCAATCTAAAACAAGGCATTAGGACTTTAGATCAATGGACTTTAGATCAATGGACAAATGGTTTTGTGCAGTCATAGGTTGGAGCCGCTGCCTTTCTTTTTTACTCTTTAAAAACTTTTCTCAATGACTGCCCAAAAAGGCAACTCGTCAAACTAAACATCATTTGCAACACTTAGAATTTTTAAAGGTGGGAGACAATCTCGCTGCTGGTTTGCTAAAAGAACAAAATGACAATAACCAATAACCCCTACTTTGACCTTTGGTATATGAACCTAAGACAAGAGCAATCCTGTGACAACAAGAAGTTATTTAACTTTCAATGCATTTGTTCATACCTGATTTGCAGATAAGTGCAGTGAGCTTAAATAAGTGTTGCCAGTGTATCATGTTTGATCTGTATACCAATACTAATACTAATACTCATACCAATACTAATACCCATACTAATAATAAACTTATTTAGTGAGTACTTATAATCCACATGTAATGTGAACCTACCTGACACACCTACCTAAGAGTTTACTGTTCTGTAGTGGCACTCCCCCCCCCCCCCCCCCCCCTCGTTCTCTCTATCTACTCTCTAATCACTACTTCAGCTTCAAGTCTGTCTTAACCGGTCATGTGAAAATGGCTTTCGTTAGGTTGTGTGATCGCAGAACCTCAAAGTTTCTGAAAATCCTAAGTATCATTCTGATGACTACGTTTCTCTCAGTGGTCCTTTATGAAACTGGCTCTCGCAGACAGTCCATACCGGACCTGGTCATCCCAGAGCAGTTTTCCCTGGACCTGCCTGGGTGCTTGGCTATCATCACTGGAGATGTAGGTGTAAAGAAGAAGGAAGTGGAAACACTTTTGATGTCCAGGACGAAGAAGACATTTCTATCTCCTGAAGGCTATCTGAATCTGACACAGGACTGTCCAAGTTTCACCACAGTAAGAGGCTTCATCACAACTCCTCAGAGTAAAGAGGAGAAGGACTTCCCCATCGCTTATTCCATAGTGATCCATGAAAAAATCGAGATGTTTGAACGACTTCTGCGATCCATCTACGCTCCTCAGAACGTCTACTGTGTGCATGTGGACCAGAAGTCGCCGGAGGAATTTCACAAGGCCGTGGCGGGGATCGCTGCCTGTTTTCCCAACGTGTTCATCGCCAGTAAGTTAGAAAACGTCGTGTACGCGTCTTGGACCCGAGTCCAAGCTGATCTGAACTGCATGGAGGATCTGCTGAAGTCCAGCGTCAAGTGGAAGTATCTGCTGAACACCTGTGGCACAGACTTTCCCATTAAAACCAACGGCGAAATCGTACAGGCACTGAAGACCTTGAATGGGAGGAACAGCATGGAGACGGAGAACACCATCGACTACAAGAAGCCACGGTGGCAGTATCACCACGAAGTTACGGACTCCATCGTTAGGACAGATGTGACGAAAAGTCCTCCACCTATACGCAGCCCGATGTTCTCAGGTAATGCCTACATTATTGTTTCCAGAGAATTTGTGACTCATGTGATGCGGGACAAAGAAGCGCAGAAATTCATTGAGTGGGAGAAGGACACGTACAGCCCAGACGAACACATGTGGGCCACGTTCCAGAGGATGCCCTCGGTCCCCGGATCTGTACCAGCCAACATTAAGTACGATGTATCCGACATGCAGGCTTTAGCTCGGGTGGTCAAGTGGAGCTACCTGGCCGGTGACGTGAACAACGGAGCTCCGTACCCTCACTGCACCGGTGCCTACAGACGAGCGGTGTGTGTGTATGGAGCTGGTGACATCTTGTGGCTCTTTAGACAACAGCACCTGTTTGCCAACAAGTTTGATCCAGAGGTTGATGACACTGCTATTAGATGTATAGAGACGGTGTTACGTTTCAAGTCTTTAGGTCATGACCCGCTGGCACCGTTCGTTTCTTCCCTTCTGTGATAGCCACTGTCATGACTGTTCGAACTGAGGCGATACACCCGATGGAGAACTCTGTGGTGGGTATAAATTGAATGTTATTTATATTTCAAGTTATGTGACTTGAGGTCCACAAACTTTGGAAAACAAAAATAATTGTTTTAAAAGCCTAAAATAATTTCTGGAAGTCTCCCTCAAACCTGGGCTGAACTGTTCTAATCCAAGATCCCTCCCATCTCCCCACCGCCCATTCCCAAACATTCCCAAATCGAAATCCATAATATCAAAAAAGTGCAGTCGTGCTGCCTTATTTGAACACCTTGTCACCTTGAAAATGTTTCTGTTGTTTGTCACTCCGCACCTGTGGGTCTGCTCCACACTTTAACTGGTTTATTTAAGAGCCAGACTAGTAGTAAATTACACTATGTCCATCCAACTCTGATTTTTATTTTAAAAATGTTTACAAATTTCTGCAGAGGTGTATAGTTTTATTTGGATATTTTCCTTGTCTTTAATGTTTACTTTACTTGTCAAACTCCAGTCTGTACCTTGTGTATTATTGTATATCCTTGATTTAAGTTGCTCCAGCCCAAGCACAATGCACTTGTCCATTACTTGTCTATTTTTTTTATTGTGAGTTGAAATAAGGAGATGAACTATCATCTGTGTAGAAAAAAAGAAGTAATAAAAAATCTAAGCTGTTTAAATGAACGTGTACTCTTCATGACAAAGATTGTGATTCTTCCTTGTTTTTGTGATTTTTTTTCCAGCAAGTTAAATTTTTAAAAATATATTGTCAGCAAGATACTGGACTGAAACATGGTGTTTCAAAGTTTTAATTACTATTTATACTATTCATTTCTTATTGTTATGGGATTTTTAATGCCAATAAAACTGCTTTTTAAGCGACTGTGATGATTGTTTCCTTACATACTAAGACCTTCAGAGAAACACAGATTATATCTAGGATTTATTCTACCAAAATAAACTTGATGCTCCTCCAACAGGACTTTAATCAGAGGATGTCAGCAGTGACCAGACCAAAATTCTGTTTCAAATTGCAACAATCCTTGAAAAAACCAAAACGTATATCTTTGTGACTAGTGTATAGCTTGATTCAAAGTTACATGTCCGAAGACGGCCACACGGTGGCAGTGTGTGCCGCAGCAAAATCACCTTTTCTATCCGTGGTTTTCCTGTAGTGTATTGAGTTTGCATGTTCTTACTTTATTTGTGCATTCTCCATGTCCTCCAGCTTCCTGCCAAAATACAAAAAAGGTAATTTCCGGATTAGGCAAATGGACAACCTAAACCAGTAACAGTTTTTGAGACAGTGCAGGGTTACAAATATCAAAGCAAACATAAATAAATAAATAATAAAAACACAAACGGAGTGGACCGTCTCCCTGCCTGCTCTTATCCAATCTAACAGTGACACTATTTAGTTGTCTCAAGCCAAACACACTATAAAACAAAACATAAATTACATTTAATACAATTAAATACAACCCTGTCATTTTGCAGTTTCTTCTAACTTGTTATTCTTATATGTGTCCGTCATGGATGTGTGTCTAATTTGAACTGGAACTATCTATGGTTTAGTCCCTGCATCTGTATTTAAATTTACTCTCATAAAACTCACATAAAAAGCATTTAGTAAATGCACCACTGGGCAGAACAGTTGAAATATTGCAATACAGTCGATGTTGCAATAAAAATATGTTCTTTATCTCGCACACACGCACACACAGACACACACACACCTGCAGCTAATTAGACAAACAATAGCATTGATCCACAAACAGTAAGTGAAATCAGGCATATTTTAACAACTTACCTCTAACAAAAAAAGTGGTGTCCGCAAACTCCATGTAAATAATTTGGTATAAATAGAACGGTGAAGGGTTGTTTTCATTAAATATGCATAGCCATCTGGTCATACCTGATGAGCCAATAAACTTGTAAATATTTGACGCACCTCTTTGAGAATGATTCAGTCTACTCACGCAAAAATGTGGTCTGTCCACAGCGAGATGGCTGCGTTGGTGTTAGGTCGTAGTACATCTATTTTTCTGGTAAGACTGTGTCTCCTCCTGGCAGCCACCTTCCTGTCACTCGTCCTCTGGGAAGTCAAATCAGGCATGAACTCGCTGCATGACCCGGTCATTCCAGTGCAGTTTTCCCTGGACCTGCCCGGGTGTGCGGCCATCATCACTGGAGACATTGGTGACAAGAAAAAAGACGTAGAAACGCTTCTGGTCTTGAAGAAGAAGAGGAAACTTTTATCTCCTCAGTTCTACCTCAATCTGACACAGGACTGTCCAACCTACATTGAACTGAGAGGCTTCATCACAACTCCTCAGAGTAAAGAGGAGAAGGACTTCCCCATCGCTTATTCCATAGTGATCCATGAAAAAATCGAGATGTTTGAGCGACTTCTGCGATCCATCTACGCTCCTCAGAACGTCTACTGTGTGCATGTGGACCAGAAGTCGCCGGAGGAATTTCACAAGGCCGTGGCGGCGATTGTTGCCTGTTTTCCCAACGTGTTCATCGCCAGTAAGTTAGAAAACGTCGTGTACGCGTCTTGGACCCGAGTCCAAGCTGATCTGAACTGCATGGAGGATCTGCTGAAGTCCAGCGTCAAGTGGAAGTATCTGCTGAACACCTGTGGCACAGACTTTCCCATTAAAACCAACGGCGAAATCGTACAGGCACTGAAGACCTTGAATGGGAGGAACAGCATGGAGAGCGAAAGGACTCCTGACTTCAAGAAGCCAAGGTGGCAGTATCACCACGAAGTCACCGACACCATC